GGGGCTCCCAGGCGCGACCCCCGCGCCGCTCGGGGCCCCGCTGGCCTTTGCTTCAGACCGACGGCGGTGGCGTAATGAGCCGGGTGGGCTTTCGTTACCGGGGTTAGGCGTTCTCGCTTGTTCTCCTGAAGTTCATGCAGGATCGCGTGTCTGTTGCCCTCTCGCGGGTTGTGCGAACGCCCGATTTCGGCGTCGGAACCGAGTCAGCCGTCATGCGGGCGGGGACTTGGCGGGTTTCGGGTCAGGCCCGTGCTGCCGGGTGATTTGGAGCCGCTCACACCTATCGGGCTTTAAGCCAGCCCCGTACTTCCCAAGCGCCGTGGTGGCCTCCGTCTCTGTTCCCTGGTTTAATTAGGCTGTCAGATTTTAGCGCTAAAACTGCGGCACAGGAGGGCCCGCCTGCCTGCGGTCATCCCGACGCTGTAGCGGCTTCCCAGGTCCGTGACGGATTTATACTGACGAGCTGAAATTCTAACAACCGGCTTGGGTTCAAATTAGTGATTCAGTGAAGAGCTGGGTACTCCCATAGAGGTGTCCAAATGAGTGTGAAACTCGCTCGGGCAGCAGTTGTTGCCAGCGCGACACCGTTAGAGACTTGGGCTGCAAAATCTCGGGGGAGCTGAACGCCAAACTGCTGGCGCTGAAGCTCGCAGGACTCCCTGGTTTATCACCGTACAGCTTCTCTTCTGATAACGGCAAGTTTTCTTCTGTTTGGGCTAAAAAGAATGTTAAAAGTGGGTTTAACTTTCTATTTTAATACCGACAGAAAGTTTTAAAAGTGCAGAAATGGTAAGGGGGTGAGAGTGAATGGTGGGGGGGGGGGGCTGCGTGTGCTGGAGTTGACGTAAAGAAATGTTCATCAGCTTTTGAAACCTGGAATCGTATATTCAGCTTTATTGCACACTGTAGATAACGAACTGATAACTAAAACTTCTTAGTTTTCTAAAATTAAAGTATGAGAAAGGGGGGAAATATGGAGCAGATCCCGTGGCATTTTGTGACAGAGATGGGAAAGAAATTAGAGATCTCTCCTTGCGTTCAGTTATACTGCTGATAGGCGGTATATGGATATCGTCCTGCTGCTGTACTGATTCCAAATGTACGTGGTACCTAAGTATACCAAAGTGCTGAAACAAACTATATTATTTTTAGTGCCAATACTGTTGTAACACAACCCTGTGTGGCAGTGACGGAAGGGAAAGAAGGAGGTGGGGGGCTTGAGGGCTTCGCTGCTTCTTCCCGCTTCCCAAGCCTGGCTACTAGGCTTGTCTGGAGAAAGGGTCTGTGGGTCCTGGGCTACAGGAGGGTGAACAAGGGAATTATTCTGGCGTGGTGACTGAAAATCAAGAATTGGGAGGAAGAGCATATGGTCACAGTCGAGGTCCCTCTGTGACTTGTACACTCAGCTAAAGAGTTTCCTAGGGAATTCCTAGCCCTACCCTCTCCCGCAGTGTGGCTGGGATAAGAGAGCATTGATGAGGGGAGAAGAGGAGACTCCCGCCTCCATCACTCACCCCTCAAGCCTCGCTAACTTCTTGAAGCTGCTGTTGTGAAGTTTGATGACGTTACGGAATTTTGATGTCAGTGTTGTAAAGGCGTTGACGATTGCTGTGTCACATGTGCTCAGGGGTTTATGTTTCTTTATTTGCAGTTTGACAGCTTTTCCACTGAGCAGAGGAATAATTTGCCTAGCCTACCTGCATAAAAATTGTATAAAAAGCAACAAAGAACAGTTTTATTTGTTCGACAAAGTTTGAGATCGCTTCAAAGAGTCTTCGTCTTTTCCTATGTATAATGGAAATCAGTGGATTTCTAAAAAGGAAGCTGTTCTTGATGGTCTAGTGTTCTCGTGATGTGCTTATAGTAGTACTCTAAAACCAAAACAAAAATATGGCCAAGTAATTCCTCTGATTTCAGTATCGTTAGGAGTACGTCTATATTAATCAGCTTGGCAAGATGAATACAAATGTTTAGAAACTTTAGAAGTCCAAGAAAGTAAGACAAGTAATTCTTTTCAGCCTTTCCGCCTAGATATGAGAAATATAATTCAACTGCAAATTGTTCCCATGCTCATATTCCATCTTTTGTGAATTTATGGTGCAGGCATTATCGGAAGCGCTCTGCGTCACGTGGACGCTCCGGTAGCCGTTCTAGAAGTCGTTCTCCATCTGACAAAAGAAAACGTGGAGAAGACAGACGCTCTAGAAGTAGAGATCGAGAACGTAGACGTGAGAGGTCACGCAGTAGGGACAAGAGAAGGTCTCGATCGCGTGACAGAAAGCGTCAAAGGTATGACTTACCAATTCCATTCAAAGTACACAAAAATGCCTGTCATCTGAATACCGATGTTCTTGCTCTATAATTAGTTACTTTGCTGCTGTTCATGACAGATTTTACTATGCTTAATGGCTTTGCTTCTTAAATGGTTTCTAGCTGCTGGTGCTGGAGTTTATAAGCTCTTAGAGGTCTTGATGATTGTTGGATTCCTTTTACAACTTGTTCCTCAATAGCAGGCTAAAATTATACTGTGATCACATGCTAAATAAATACAATTTTGTTCTGTGGCAGACGTTCAAGAAGTAGAGAAAGGGAACGGAGCCGAGAGAGACGAAGATCCCGGAGCCGAGAGAGGAGGCGCTCTAGAAGCAGAAGTAGAGGTAGACGGTCTCGATCCTCC